AAGTGAAATAGCGGTTTTATTCAGCAAGAACCCAGACTGAAATACTTATAAGAGCGAGAACTGAATTTGTCAAAGAAGCGAATCAAGTTCTATTTATTAAGCATTCTTCAAAGAACCAACCCATTGTATGAAGCACTAGTCTACCCTCATAGGCCATACTTTATATGAGCATAAACAAGTTTTGTCAGACGATATCTATCAAGTAACAAAGACAGTTAAGTTGCTGTTATTGATGGAAAAACGTGAAGCTGTGAAATACAAAGGAAAACGTCTAGCAGAAATATGTATATTTGAATATGGAAGAAGAGACCCTTGAAAATGGGACTGTAGCATTAAAAAATTTTTTCGATTTTGAAGTTCATGCAAACCTCGATATACTAGATGCACAGAAAGACAATGAGGATAAACCTTGTAGCAGTAGCCAGCCAACGAAGTCCAAGGAAATGTATACTTATTCCTTGGACGTTTGACCAGAAAAAGGCGATATTGTGGGAGAAAATGTACAAAATGTTTATACTAGGGCGGTGAAATGTTCAGGTTAACTGACAATATTCCAAGAATCAACTTGGCATTTTTATTTTGAGACTTTATAGTAGTGAATGTTTAGTTCATTTTCCAATGTGCTAGCATGCCACAAGTATACTTCATGATCTTAGACATATAGATTTTTCTCATAGAAACACCACTAAAGAAACCATTCAACCGACGTCGCATTTTGACTTTGAACGGTCAAGGTCATTGTAAGAAAAGGTACTTTATAAAGATCTCGGGGATCTGTTCTAAATATTAAAACAATAAGCGTCAGGGACGTAACTTTTTCCTTCTCTATTCATTGTTGACCTTGATGCTGACTTTGAATATTCCGTTGGAGGTAAAACCAAAGTGAAAATTTTCACCAAAGATCTTGTCGGAACTTACCACAGTCTGCTCCTTTTCTGCGGACAAAAGTAGGGGTACTAAATGAACTGACCTTGATTTGACATTAAAGCTCATAATCAAGGTCAGTTTCAAGGACACCAGTAAATAATGAGGGGGGGAAAGTTCAAACACCTGCACGAATTAGTGCTTTATCTTCAGGCGTATTCTAATCTTACCAAATGGAATTTTATAATGACCAGGATGCTCAAGTCAAAATAATGTTCACCCAAGACCACGTGTTGAAGTAAAATTTGCCGCTCTATCCATTTCCAAAGCCAAGAGTATAAGTACAATTATAGAAAATCGCCCTGTCATTGTTTGACCGTCAAGGTCGTGATAAAGGTCAATTTTTTAGGACATCAGTAAATAGACAAAGAATAGTTGCAGCTCCTCTTGCCTTTGGGTCCTTATTGATGCGTTTAAGACCAAACTAACTAACTCAATGCCAATTTTTGGAGTCAAAAGAATTAAAGAATCGTCTTTATATTGAGTAAACCTTCAAGGTCAAATTCAGCGTCATCAATGAATATGCAGGGAAAAATCCACACCACTACAATGTCACTTTTACAATACGCCTTGCGTATTTCCAAATATCTGGGACTTTCAGATTACCTTATATGGGTATTTATATACTACGATCTGAAGCAATTCCAAAGTAAATATCTGAGGAAACCTCCATCCATGAACTTCTTGGATCAATGCAAGTGAAATAACGACAATTGGCAGTGTTGTGTAATGCAGAATGATTGGTGGTATGTTTAAGCAATACAGACCCGGATTCTGAAGCAACAGTGTCGTTTATTCATAGTTGATGCACTGCGCAAAGTTGTAATGATTACATATTTCTCCGAATACCGATTTTTCACAATAATACATTTTTTCAATAAATATAATCAACGTCTTGCCTATCTGGTCCCCCTTATCTCCACTTCTGGATTTTTTTACATTAACCATGCTTGTAGAAGATTTTTTTTCAAATTTTTGATAATTATAATTTTGATGTTGACATAGTTGATTTTATTCACTATTAACCTTAACTACTACACCTGTTCCATCAAGTTTTTAATAGACTTGGCAGATGCTACATTTTTACAGGCGCATCTGACAACTAATGTCAATTTCATACTTCCGGTGTTGCCCCATTCACCATGATGTGAGGTCGTGAAGATGATTTGCGATATAAAATTTAAAAAAATAAACACTTAAATCTGTTTGTCATATGACACATAGCTGATTTTTTCAAACGTTTTTAACAAATAGTCTCATGAATCCAGTTTTTATCGTTTTACTAAGTATTCTCATCCACTTTTTTAAGAACATTTAGCACCAATCTCAATTACTATGTAAATAGATAATTCAAGATCAACTAATTGAATGTAGTTACTATTTTCAAATTAATTTATAGCTCTTGATGATGATAACGTGGTTTATTGAAAACTTGAGAATAAAGCTATACGATTAGAGAAAAACGGACTTCCAGTAGCGTCATATAGGGGCCTGTATCTAAGTAAGGGGTCTCCAAAGAACATTTTTATAGGAATTTGAGGCACTATTTTTGTGTCCTATATGCATACGAGAAATTACAATGCTATCCTGGGATACCCTGTATAAAATCAGAGGTGCGAAGGAAACAGTGTCGAAATTCTTCCGCTGGGTTCGTTTACATATAATCAAATTCCAACTCGCGCACCGGAGCGACGCGACGAGAAGCGATGAATCACGTTTGACATGTACAAATGACAAATGTCGAAGCGGTTCTCTTCACTTCGCTTCTGCTCAGCGTGCAACTTGTTTGTATATTTGTCAGCAGAATGATGGTGCTTACCTGAATATCCTGGTTTATTGCATTATCAGAGCCAAAAAGATCAAAATCCTTTTCTGGACGTGTGACTCCGCTGTTATAATTTTCCACTGGTCTGTACATGACATTCGTTATCTCGCGAGTGCTCTTTATGCCTTGCCAAGTCAGACCTTTGTACATGAACTGTTTGGACTTTCTGCTGTAATGTGAAAAACGAATTTGTCTATGCTACCGTTCAAATCTGGAAAATATGGCTTAGCTTGAACGTTTAGAGCCAAAACAAAACTTGTACTGAATTATTCTTGGAAGCTTTCAGGTTTCAAGTAGATATTATCCAAAGCAACTTGTCATATTATGTTATAAAAATGTTTTTTCATCATGGTACAAATAATGCATCGGAACTTTTAAAAACAAATATCTCGAAAAGTATTAGCTTGAAACACTTCTAACAAGTGACCCTTTTCTGTTGTGAAAATACGAGAAAATAAGATTTTTCGGTCAGTTTATTCTGAAATAAATTAATTATGATTAGAAAAACTGATTTGTCCTAGTCTAAACTGCTTCGGACCGAGATCTAACTAGTCTAAACTCCTTAAAAGGTAGCATGGTATCTTACAAAAATTGTATTGCAGGTAATTGTTTATTTTGTTGCTGTTATTATTTTATTTAAATTAAATATTTTCATTTCAGAAATAAATTTGATATCTGCGCATAAACTTTTTACATATATACTTGATTTGGCCTAGGAAAAACTAGTTAATCCTAAAATCGAGTTTGTCCGGTAACATATACATGCATCTCCAGGCGCCACAGTTGCACAGAAAGTGGCTTGCCGGCCTCTTTCTGAAGGGACGTCACCATCAGGTCGACTAATCAATCTGTTTTAAGTGCAAGTTTATGAAGTTAGGCGAATGTTGACACGACGTTTGGGGTAACGTTTCTACACGGGACTGTGTTGCTTGGGATGGCAAACTGGACTTGGATTGTGAAACTCCATATCAAAGATGCTTGGAATAACGTTGAAGCATTGAACTAGGTCCCTTGGGATAGCAACGTGGACCTGGCTTGTGATAGTCAGCTCCACACCAAGGACGAACGAAGACGTCTTGGATAAAGATTTGGCATTGAACTCCGTTGCTTTTGATGGTAACTTTTACTTAGCTTGATCCTACTACAAATAACAACGCTGAAAGCGTTTGAAATGACGTATGAACATGACAAGTTAGGAATCCGCCAACGTATTTTTTCCTTATTGCCAGATAGAGATTTAATTCCTTATGCAAGGTTGGCGTTATATTTTGCTTGTGATAGCAAATTCCACCCGATTTGTGAAAGCCATGAAACAGGACTGTCAGTATGCATATGACAGATTAGGAAACCGTCGAAGTACCATTATTCAGGAATAACAGATATTACATTTTCTGCCTCCAAAAAAAAAAAAAAACGATTTGCATCGTTGTATTAACGCAAAAGATCGTCCAAAAAGCATGACTGATCCTTGAAGGTAATGTCCGTATTTTATAAGGGCGCACGCCTTGGTTTGATTCTGTCCAGTGGCAGCGGGCTATTGCTGTTGATAATATGTAGGCTTAAATATTTCCAATTGGTGTGACTTTCAAAGCAGATAACATTTTTATTTGTAAAATATCTTCACACTTGTGAAAGGCAAAATATTTCTTCCAAATTTCAATATTCTGGGAGAAGGATGCTTCTTGCTTTGTACACACACACACACACAGGTTTAGCGACTTTAGGCGGAAATTAAAGTATATAAAATGTTTTCTTTTTCGAGAAATCCTCCCAAGATCAATACAAACACATACGTCGGTCATGATTTGTTAATTTTATTCAGCCAAGCCTAGTTTAGCCGGATGAGGTAAATTAGTTCTGCGTTTTGAAAGTCACTGCAAAGCTAGGATTTAAAGGCACATGAAGAAGATCCGCCCTTCCGTCTCTAACATATGGGCCCATAGTGCCCTTGCACAGGCTCCCGGGCTTGTTAGGGAAACGTGTCCAAAAATCTACGATAAATTTTAAAAAGTGGTATTGAGGGGTCCCGGCACAGCTTAAGACTTCCCCAAATCCGCCTGACCCTAATGGTTACATACGTAAAAAATCGATACTCATCATTACACGCGACCTATTCTTTAACGTCGATTCCAGACAAAAATTTTCGCCTATGTCTTTCAAACCAATCTGTTGCTTACCTGCCCTCTACTCTTTTGTATGGATTTCACTGAAGAGAAAACATAATTAAGACAATTAGAAAATCATTCTAGGGGAGGCGATTGAAAATTGCAGAGCATGGGGCGGTTTTGAGTTTTGATTCGTCCAGGGGTTACATTTCACAAAACGTATGGCTGTAATAAGTAAATAGAAACATCTAAGCCACAGCGTTTTGGCAGGGGGTGTCCGACAACCCCAAAGAGGCTTACGATTCACGAAGATGTCCGTCTCACCGCGGAGGAGGGGGGACTGAAAATTGCAGAACAGGGAGGTGGACGGTGGTTCATGTCCATTCGGCCATGGTGGGCTACATTTCACAAACAATATCGTACGATGCAATATGTAAAGAGAAATATACCAAGCCGTGGCGTTATGCGGCCAAACCCCCCTGACGTGTGCCCATCATTTAAGTTAAGCTGTTCGTATTGGGGCTACCAATACAGGAGCAGAGTCTTCCGGACTGTACGCCAAGTTCAAAGAGTTCCGCGTTTCTCTGTAATGTCTCAACTCAACTTGAGCTGAGAAAAAAATATCTTGAATAAACTTTAACATTCTATATCTCAGCAACTAGGAACTTTTTACTAAAACACATTTGGTTCCGGATGTATTAATTAAGTCCAGATTTCTGATATGTTGCTCAGATTCCAAAACTTGTCCAGTATTCTGAGCATCATGTGCAAAGTCAACATGCATATCTATAGACCTACTAGATGTATCTGGATACTCTGTGAAAGAATATGTGTCTTCATTTCTTCTTTCTAAATTGCTTGAGCTTGGAGAGTTATTCAATGTTGCGAACGTATTCGAGGACAGATGTGGCAAAGCAACCATTTCATTGATAGTTGGTGTACTTGTGGGTATTCGATCGCTGTACTCAAAATGATATTTATCTCTACTTCTGATGCTTTGCCTCTTTTGAAAATTTTCTTCTGCTATCACAGTAGACTTAGTTGCTTCACGTATCGCTGATGTATCCTTGAATTGTGATGCAACAGGACAGACCTCCATTTTGTCATACGTTTCACTGATTCTTTTTCGCGTGTTGATTTCCTTGTCACTTTCAGTAACAAGTTCTAGAATTGCTTCAGAATCAGTGTTTGTCACTTCGCCTATATTATCATACTCCCTATCGTCTGAAGGTGGTGTCAGGATATTACTGAGGCTTTTTTCAATATCGTCGTTTGATGATGGCTGTTGACCTATATTTAATATGTGTTCCTGACTATGTTCGTTTTCGTTTATCTGACTGTCACTAACTGATAAAGGAATATCATTGTAGGCTCTGATTTGCTCAACAGTTGATGTTTGTGATTTGGCAGTGTTATGTTCAGGCGGGGTAGAAATTGTATCCAAAAACGATAAATTTGAATGTATCTCTTCCGTTTTCTCACAAGGATCCTGAAAGTGAGACGAAGCAATTAAAAAAAGTGGTGTACACAATAATAGTCGGGATAGTTTGTTCCAGTGGCGGATTAATAAGTGTCAAAATTGACATTGCCCCTTGCAGAAAGGCCACAGGGCCCCTCAATATTGTAGCCCAAGCCATTTCTGAGGTCGCATTCCTTATACTGAACTATTGATTCTTTGTAAATGTACCTCAAAAGCTGCTGTAGCCAATTCAGCTTAAGCAACGTGCTGAAGTATTTGTAACGTAACTAACCTCTTTGATTAGCTTAATTTTATTAGGTATATATTTATATATAGAGAATCATGCGGAGAAAGGTATATAACAAATAGAAAAAATAATGGGCAAGGCAAACTCCGCAAAAAGAACCACAAAAGTAGGCACACATGCCCATACTACCGGATACGGGTGTAACCTGAGGAAACCAAGATGGAGAGGGAAAAAAATGACACACGAAGTCTTTTTTTCAAACGCATACCCTCTAATTTTGGTTGAACAATGTCGAAACATTTGTAAATAAAGTTTTATGTGCCTAGAACCAGGGCAAACCAGGTTAAGTTGCGTTGGAACATGTTAAAACTCGCAGTTCTAAACGGGAATATTTTTAATAGGGGACGCAAATTATCAAATTACCGGGTCAAAACTTCCCTCTCAACCTTACTATTCGGAGTGCATTATTTACTGCGAAAAGGCACATATACCGACTAAATCTCTACTTAACTGTGTTAAGAAACTAGTTACCTTATACCAAGTTTAGAGAGATTTGCAAAAAAAGGCAAGCAAAACACATGTGTTTGAACAACGTCGACAAGAGTGTGTTACGAACTTGGACAATCTGTTTGATATATAATAAATGAAGATAGGATCTTCTTGCAGCGGCAGAGAGAGCCAGGTCGACCTGGTCATTTAGCTGAGGTGCACAAGAAATTAGCAATAAAAGAAGAGGCGCGTGTTAGGAACACCGAAGAACAAAAGCGGCGAGCCGATACTAATCAAACTCAAATGGAGAAGAGTTTCCAAAAATAGTGGCAGCATTAGAAAGGTCTCATTTGAGTATGAGAAATGCTGTTTTTATTATTGAAGCAACCAGTAAGGCACTTGGACATAACACTAACGAGTTTCCTATAAGCAAGTCCTCCATTCAAAGAATTCGTACCGAAAAGCGAGACGAGCGCGCAGAATCTATAAAGCTTGATTTCCAAAGCGAGGTACCGGATACTGTAACAGTCCACCGGGATGGCAAATTGTTGCCACCTTTAAATACATGCAAGTCTAAAGAAGAACGTCTATCCATAGTTATAACCTATGAAAATAAAGAGTGTTATAATGTACGAAAATAAAGAGCAACTTTTCGTTGAGCCCCATTTGAATACCTCTTCAGGCAGCGAGCAGGCTCAAGCAGTTTGGGATGCTATTATTGACTGGAATCTTGAAGATAAAATTCAGTTTATCTGATGTGGTGCTACTGCTTCAATTCATTCAATTAACGGTACCTGCATGCTTCTCGAACAGAAATGCTTATTTTTGCTTGCCGCAATCACGTCTACAAATTGGTGTTAAAAGGCGTGTTTGAATCAAAGATCGACCAAGTGACTACAAGCCCTGAAATACCAATGTTTAAAAAATTTCGCGATACCTGAAAAAGTGTGGATTCCGAGAAAATACAGATTTATACTGAAAAGCTATCATGTATGAATACTTCAGAGACTGACAAGCTGCTAGAATTTTATCGATATGAACTGACCAAAGAAGTTGCTAAATAATCAAGAATTAATAAAACTTTCAGTAATATTTCTTGGCGGAGATACAGAGAAAAAAATTAAGATTCGACTGCCAGGCGCCATGCATCAAGCTCGATAGATGGCCAGAGCAAGCTAATCGTTAAAAATAGCGTTACTAAGTTCCCAGCTCAAACTGTCTAATAAGGATAAGGCAGCTCTGTTAGATATCTGCCTGTCCATCCTGACAACATACGTGAAACCTAACCAGGATTTATGCGTTTTAAAGGCAATGAAGGCTTACGAAAGAATTGAGAAAACCATTTCAAAAGCAGCTTTACTAAAGTTCTGCTAACATTTATGGTATTTGATAGATGAGGTCTCTGTCTTATCTCTGTTTGTAGACGATGTAGATTAGGAAACCAAAGTAAAAATTGATGCTAATTTAGCCAAAGAAAGTCCATCAGCCCACGGTAAACGCTACATCCCATCGAAAGAAGAACTTTCTGACCCAAGCATAAACTGCAATCTTGAAACTGAATATATGGCACCTTATATTGTCCTGGTTCGATAGATCTTATACCTCAGATAGAGGTTAGTTGTTTTGCTTTGCGCAAAATATCTGTCTATGGTTGACTGCCTATGGTCGGACGGACAAAACCTGTATGTTTAGATGGTAGCTATACCAGTAATACGTCTACAATGATTGATCATATTTACAGTAACTTTGACAATAAAGGTTTGTCTACTGTCTTAGATTACCAAATATCGGACCACAGAAGCATTTAATTGGAATTGGATATCTTCTCTAAACAGAGTCCTAATGCAAAAAAAAAAAAACAATAACTCGAAGATGCTTCAATGAGGCAAATTTTATCAAATTCCGGGATGATCTGATAGCTGAGGATTCGTCAGAACTAATTTTGAAAACGCATTATGTTGCTTCTATGATACATTTTTACATCACTTCAACACAAATTGTCCTAAACATAGTTGCCATAAACTTAATAAAAACAAATCATGGGTAAATCTAGCATGAATTTGAAAGATCTTTACCTCCTCAAAAATATCTTTCCCAGCCTATCGCCGTATTATTTGAATGCCAGACGTAAACACCTTAACCTAATGTCCACTGTAAAAAAGATTATTACCAAGGAAAAATCTTTAATTCGGTCAATAGAACTCGTGACTTATGGAATGTAGTATCTGAATTAACAAATAAATCAAAGAAAAATGATAATATCTCGCTAAACCTGGACGTGGAGAAAAATCTGCGAATATACTATACTACAAATGCATCTGAGTTTAACAAATTTTTCATTGAATCTGCAGGAAAACTTGCTAATCATGCCAAATCTGCTAAATCATTGAGGAGCGTCACATCGGCAGTCAGCCGACATACCAATACACATACGATGTTCCTATCTCCATTTAGTGAAAACGAACTAATGAATTTACTGAATACTAAATTAAAGTACGAGTATTAAAAACAGCATTGTTTTATGAAATTCCCCCATTTGTGTTAAAAAATGTTTATATAAAGAAATATATGATTCAAATAAAGATGTGTTTTCTTTGTCGAATAAAAATTAGGTTTTGAAATCCATACATGGTTTCCCTATTAACTTCCAAATTCAAAGTTTGACCGAAAGTTATAGTTATAGTTCCCCGATCGCAATAATATTTATTTTTTGAGTTGATCGACTCAAATGGAAAAAATACTTGGAAATCAGCAAAATATAGCGAAGTCCACTCTTGTAACATAAATCTCCAGCTTTCGATAGACTTTGCTATCATCTTCAGGAGCTAAAAAACAAATTTGAAAATAGCAAGCAAAATCGATCAGTTGAACTTTTGTTTCTGACCTAATTGATGAGGTGGGTGCTAAATGCTCTTAGAACGTCATGGATGAGACCACATAGTAAATCAATAAAAAAACTGGATACATATTGTTTGTTGTTAGGTTTGGAAACTCATAACCATACGATGCAAAATTCACAAACAGACCCAAAATGGGGATAAATTAATGAAATCATTAAAATGTTTACATTTTGGAACAATTCTCTCTATACATCGCCAAGTGATGGAATTGAAAAACCCACACGGCTATTATAAAACGCCATAAAAAACACAACGGAACAGTTAGTGCAACTAGGTCGTTCGACGTTTGCTCGCTATGTTCGCTGTGGTTGCAGAAAGCAAGTATATGTTTTGTGAAGCCGAGTAGTCGGTAGTGTTTATCTCTGAGAAGATGTAAAAGAAAGAAAGTTGGTTGAGTAGCAAGATCGCATCTGGATGATTATGTGTATTGGTATGCATGTGTATGAAATTAGTGATATTTGCTATGTGAGAAAATTATTACTGAATATGCTTCCAATGAAGTATATCTATTAGCAGTGCCTGACGGGTTATTTATATATTGCCCTTTCTGAAGACAGGATATGTTCAAAGCTATAAATTACGATTTTTCCCGTTTTTTGTATTTTCAAAAACTTTGTGGAGCATTATTTTAGGAGCGCCCGCGTTGTGTGCAATTAAGCCACATCCCAGAAAAATTAGGAATTACGCATTACACATCAAACATTTTCGCAATGCGCTGATTTGCATCTTCTATTAACATAAATTTCTATAAAAGGTAAATGACTGGAAATAAAAAATACACTTTCATACATATTCCTGCCTGTAGCATATTTTCTCACCTGTTCCTTCACCAACCAGGGATTTTCTTTTCTTATCTCTCTCTCCTTTTTGAAACTCCGCAAATTTGCCTATGTAATTTCCAAAATGAATAAGAAAAAATAAGATAAACAAGAGGGGAGCTGGAAAAAGTCCACAATGCAAAAACAATTTTTGACATCATTACCTTTTTCTGGAAGAGATTATTATTTACACACAGAAGACATGGTTAATGTGAAAAATTCCAAAACTTGAAAAATATTTTTTGTATCTTTAATGGATGAAATAAGCAAATGTTTAAATTATTTAAATTTATTACTGTGAAACATCAGTGCTGTGAGTTCAAGTTTTTAGCAGTTCAACAATAAATGACACTATGATACTATGTTACTCAACATCAGCCTTTTCATTCGTTCAATTATCCGTCTTAAAATGTGAGACATTTCTAGGAACAACGTTTGGAAAGGTGTTCTCTGTCAAGAACCTTCACACTTCCATAACTCACAGATTGACCTGTGGTGTTAACATGTGATGCCAAAGCACATCTTTCTGGATGCAGTCTGGAGCCACTTTGGTGTGATGTTAATCTGCCATTTCAG